TTTAAATTTTATTATTTTCTATTACTATATTATTTTTTCTTAAAAATTTAATGAAATAAAAATTGTTATTAACTTATTATAATAATTACAATAAATAATTTTTTTATTAAAAATTTTTAAAATTTATTTTCTTACTTTCTGTTTTGTTAGAAGTTTTACTGCAGCATCCTCATCTTTGCCGTAATCATCACTCGTTAATGTATCTCTCTTCTCATTCATCCATGATTCGATTTCTACCGTTTCCGACAAAAACTGAAATGAATTATTAAAAAGTTTTTAGATTTTCAAAATATTTGATTAATGTATTAACTTGTAAAACTTTCATTTATTAAACCTATTAATACATACCAATTGCATTTTTAAAGAGAGTTCTAATTTCTTTTTCCGCTGGGTAACTAAATTTAATAAATTGTTCCAACTATCATTCAATTCATTGCACATTTCTTTTATAGACAAAGCTGCAACATGCTTTTGATCAATTAGCATTTGGCCAGAAGCAAATGTTTTATCAATCATTACTTGATGACCTTGAACTTCTCTTTCAAGTTTCTGTAATTAAAAATTTAAAAATTTTTTTAATTTAAAGGAACAGAATGACATATTTATTGTGTATTAATAAACTAACTTGGTGTTTTTTATATAAATTTTGCGCATCAATAAGGTTTTGGCCCAAATCTTCCGACGAAGCTGCAGGCAAATGTTCTCTTATCCACTGCATTTCAGTGTCCACTTCAAAATTAAACTGGTGAAATTTAAGCGATTCTTCTAACTTGTGTCGACGATTTTCAGCAGGATCTTTTAGTTTATTAAGTCTATGGGACACAAATATTTGTTGTTCTTTTATAAATACCAATATACAGTATTTTAGTAAAATTATTTTGTAGCAATAGTGGCGTAACATGGGTGTCAGCTGCTCGGGGCGGAGGAAAATTTCGCCGTTCCCTTATTTACATATCTCAATTTAAAAGACTAAAATTCAGTTTCGTCACAGAATAAGTAATGAAACATTCTGTGCTCATTTCAATTGGTCCGAATTGTAGATGCGACAAAAATATGAAATGAAATGGTTCAAATTTTTACAAGATATTATTATTATTTATTGTGAAATTTTGCTGCCCCCTAAAAGTGCCGCCCGGGGCGGGCCACCCCTGCCGCCCACCATGCTACGCCACTGTGTAGCAATTATGTTTTAATTAAAGAAAAACATTAATATTTTAAAATATGTATTCAAGTCAAAAATCTTGTGTATTTTGAATGTTTATGGTATAAATCATTTTAATATTTTATTTATACCACATTTATTGTTATTAATTTTAATAACTATTCAAAAATGCTAATATCCTACATGTCAATAATAAAAAATTATTTTAAATGAATTTTATTATTTTTATTACACCTTTACTTAATGCTTTAGTAGAAAAAGTACATAAACTTGTTTTTCATAAAGCATTAAACCAGCGTTTCTCAAAGTGGGCAATAATGCCCCCTTGTGAGCGATGAGTAAATCTAGGGGCTGCTGGAGGCAAGGTACTGAATGGTGACCAAAGGTAAAATTGGGGTCACTGAAAGCCGTTCCCTTTCCTCTGTTCTCTGGTTTCCAGATGTTGAGAACAATGTATGGTAAGGGCACAAAGTGTGAGATTCATAGAAAAGCTTTCCTAAGAATATTTCCAATCCCTTCTCACACAAGAGAAAATGGGTTAGGGGGCATTGTGTATAACTTTATGGAACAAAGGGTGCGGTGGATCGAAAAAGTTTGGTAATCACTGATTAAACTAAAAATATCAGAAAAAAAAAAATTATTGTTAAAGTAAAACTATAAAAAAACTCAATTAATTAAAAATATAACATATTGGACTGCAATTTGAAAAAATTGTAACCCAATAAGTTCCCATTGTCGTCCATCATCTGTCTGCCTTAATCTCAAGAACAGTGTTAGATAGATTAAAGTCAAGACTAGATATGAAAAGCTTAGGGGCAGGAGGTCCAATTAACTATATACAAACTCCTGGTCTAGACAGTTATGATGTGATTTTAATTAAAAAATTTTCCCCAGAATGAAATTAGATAGATGACAAAATGACTCTTGTTATCAGAAAAAGTATGACATACAGGGACAAAACAGCTAATTTGAGATTGAGAGCATATATTTTAAATTAAATCAATTAAAAATATGATTGTCACAACACTGGGCTACAATTTATAACGTCACAATAATTTTTGCTCATTATTTCTTTATTTTTATTATATTTAAAGAAAAATATCTTTTAAATATCTTAAATATTATTATTAAGATAAGATTATTTAAACATGAAGTAAAACTCTTTACCTTGTATTTACAATTTTTGTAGCTTTAATTATGTTAGGGGCATCAAAATGGCCTTGTTTTGCCATATCTTCCCCAAGTCTAACTAACTCTTGAACTTTTATCTCCCACAATGTAAGCTCATTTTCCACTATCTGAAATGAAATTATCATCATTTTTACACTGAAAAAATAAGTTGAAAAAATAATTGTAATTGATTTTTCATTCCATTTTTTATCTATTGATTTTTAGTTTTCTATTTTAGAATACATATAATTTTTTAACAAAGAAAATTAATATAATAAAAACAATTTCTAATTTATATTTAATAATCAAACATAAATTCATAAACACTAACACTAGTTTAAGACATTTATTTTTAAAATTAAAAACTTGTTAACATACTTGATGTTTCTTTAGTAATTGCTTAACGCTACGTAAATCATGGCCCATGTCTTCTGAAGCAAACAGAGCCTCTAATTCATCTAATTTTGCTCGAGCGTCCTCTAATGTTCTGTTGTACGTATGCTGAGCAACCGCCTGACGTAACTTTTGACCTTTATCTTCGGTACGGGCACAAAGTTCCTGCCACTGTGTATTTAATTGTTGTAAATGGGCATCAATTTTTTCAGAAGCGTAGTGACCGGAAACAATTAAGTTTTGACCGTCCTTGATAACAGAAATAAAAATTAATTTATTAATTTTTTTAGTTATTATAACAACAAACAAAAATTAAGATTATAACAACAAACAAAAAAAAAACATCAAAACACAGGATTTTCATTTATGTTATTTCAAGTTACAATAAAATGATACAACAGAATGAATTCTTGAGTTTATTTCTCTATAATTTCCCAGGAAATCTGATATTTAAATTTCTCTTGAAATGAACTGTAATTAATGATATTTCTCTCATTAATTCCTCTTATTTTATATTAAATGTTTACCTTCTAATATTAGAAATTATATTTCAGCATAAAAATAAACTACTCACTATAACAAATTTATCCCTAATGCTCTTCTTAAGTCATTTTCCCTTTAATTATTATCAACACTCACTAGTAGTTTTCAATTTTTTTTAATATGGACCCCAGCTTAAAGTTTAATAAATTTTATAATACTTCATGAATAGTATAGTAGTAGGGATCAACTGCTTTTCTACCTAATTTACGTAAACTTTTCATCAACTTGTAAGTGAAATTTACAATCTAACTGATCGAAAATAACTTTCTTCCTAGTTTTCGGTTTGTCTTTCTTATACTTATTCCATTTTAGAATTATTTTTGTATTCAATTTTTTTATTCAGTTTCATCGGACTATTAAACATCATAAACTAAATGCCTGCTTTATTGATATTTAACATGTCTTGGAATAATGACATAATGCATCCTACTTAATGACAATTATATCCATAATTCAGTTTCTGAAGAAATTTCATAACTGATGTAAAATAAAATCAGAAATGAATAAAATCAGAATTATCATTATCAAATTCAAAACAAAATAAAATAGTAATTTCCTAAGTGGAACATTTTCTTCTAAATAATAAAATCATTAGATTATTTCTTCATTATGAACTTATATATGTACAGTACGTATGATGCTATACCTAACCTGTTAGAAATTTAGAGTTTTTGGAAATAGTATATGATGATAATATCTAAATTACTACCTTTAAGCTATTTCATTCCACTGCTTTTAGCTCATTCACTTACACTTTACTGACAGAAATATTTTCCTAGTTAATAATCAGTAGTGCATTATACACTTTCACAAAACCCAGGGCAAATTTGAATTAGGGGCCCAGGTACAGTGTTGAGTTCAGACATTTTTCTTTGGGGGAATGTTTTGAGGGAAATATTTTCTTATAAAAGATTGGTTTGGAGACATCCTGTTGGTGGGGGCCCAGGCAATTGCCATTTTTGCTCATAAAATAACATGCCACTGTTAATAGTGTAAATTTTATGATATAATTTAAATATTTATCATAAATTCTGATAAAATATAAATAATATATTATTATTTAATATGTACTTAAAGAAATTTTAAAATGATATTCTTTTTTTCTTCCTCTGTCAATGTCTTTACATTCAAAATTAATTATCCAAAGAAACAATAAAATTCATTTTATCTAAATGTTTGTACAGATAATATCTTGTAAGCATTGATGGGCTTTACTCCATATAAACTCATTACATAATAAATAATAACATTTCATTATATAACTTGTATCTGACAAGGGAAGATTTCATAAAAAAATTGATTACATTTATTAGGGAGGCAATCTCTATGAAATGACACAAATTTCATTAGAAAGTGACATTGATAATTCCCAACTTTTCCTTGTGAGATTATCATTAGTCACAAAGTTAATTAATATTATTACTATTTTAGATTTAATTAACTTTTAACACACTATATAATGAAGTGTTCAAAATTATGATAATTTGCTTATTATCTTTAAACATTTCTATGTAATATTTTATAATATATTAATGTAAAATCTAAATATTACAACAAAAAGTATATATATTTTAAAAATAATGTTAACAGATAATTTGTTTTGATTATTCAGCTTTCTACAATACATCATAAGTGTTAATAATCACACAAGAAATTGGGGTAGCTGAACAGAATATCTTTATTCAACATGTCTGCTGAACGAACAAAAGGGCAAAAAAAAATGGGTCAGCGAGTAACGGTCGTACAATATATAAGAATCTGCCACTACTGAAATGCCCCATGGTAATCAAACCTAACAGTGGGACATAATTAAACCCATTAAAAATAAGTTACATCATAATATTTTGATGAAAACTTTTTAATTTAATTAGAAAATTCTTAATTATACTTTATGTCCATAAAGTCCATAAGCAATTTAAAAATTTTATAACTTTATTAGTATTTGTGATAAAGAAATTATGTAGAATGTGTTGGAAATAAGAAAATCTATATATTTTTATTGTTTTATTGTATTTTATTAAGTTTCCACATGTCCACCATCGTGATAATTCCACCACAGTAATTCAAAGAGTAATACAATTTTGTAGTTCTCTAAAAACATTTTCCAATTGATTTACAGTAATGTCTGAAATCACATTAGTTATTTTAGCTTTCAAATCTTCTAACAATTGAGGTTTTGTTGCATATACTATTGTTTTCACATGTCTCCATAAAAAAAAATCTAATGGAGTGAAGTCTGGTGAACACGGAGGCCAAGAAAATGGTCCACCTCGTGTGTTGAAGAATTACTAAATAATTTTACTTAAAACTAGGTACATTAAGCTTTCTAATACTTTTTACAGATTTTTTTTCTATCACAAATACTAATAAACTTATAAATTTTTTAAAATTGCACATGGACTTTATGGACATCCTGTATTATATTGATACATTTAAAATTTAATAATTATTATCATAATGCCATAAAAAAATAAAGTTTAAAAATTGGTTTTATACATTAACTACTCTAATTATAACAACAAACATTTTACTTACAGAATTAATCGAATCTAATCTTTTCTCATTTGCTTTCAATTCGGCTTCAAAAGCTTCATGGCGTTGCAACTTTCTTTCCAAATTTGTTAGATCTCTGTATGATTCATCTGAAGCAGTCTTTAATTTTTCTTGTATCCATGCAGTCAACTGAAAATTTAAGTTAATTTTCTAATATTTTACTGATAATAATTTATAGTAAAATTATATAATTTCTATCATACCACAAATAGTTTCAATTATTAATGTTTATATTGTTTTTTCTATACTTAAAAAATATATATATAAACTTTGCAAATAAAAAAAATTAATATTAAATACCTCAAATATACTTATTTGTATTCTTTATTAGTAAACAATAAAAAATTTTTAAAACATTAAATTCTAATACCTCATTTGCATCTGCTCGGAATTCCTGATACGCATGAGAAGCCAAGAGAATTTGTTTTCTCTGATGAGCCTTTTCTTTAACAGACTGTCTTCTAGATAATACCTGATGACGTCTTTCACCAATGCTGTAAAATTACCAACATTTATTATTATTGTAGATGTAAATAACTTAGAAAAATTACATCATGTGAATTATATTACAACTAACTATTTGCTATCATAATGTTTTGCAGCAATAAGTTTGTCAGCCATCTCACTAAACAATCGTAATCTTTCATCTTGAGCTAAAAGTGTGTTGATAAAATTTTCATGTCGTTTCAATAAAGCTTCAACGTCGTCAAGAGTTGTCTGTTTAAAATTTTAAAAAATTATATTAATAGATCAGTTTTATATTTTTATTCTTAATTTATGGAGAAATATATAAAAAATTACTATTGCAAATAGAAATTCAAGATTAAGAAAACAAAAACTACTAATGTTATACTTGGCATTATGCAGGGTGTTTCCCTCAGATATCCCTAGTTTTGTGGATTATTAATTTTTGGAAAAGAAATATGAGTACAGTACTGTATACAATGATAACAGAAAGTGCATCTGAAACAGTTAATTATTACATTAAATCAGCACATTTCTGCAAATACTTCTAATAATATCTGGTTTGTAATTGAATTTAGCCGTTGTCCAAGCTAGCATGTTAGGAGTCATTTTATTAATGGCATCCATGATTCTTGTATGCAGGATTCTTAAGTTTGGCACTTTTATAGCATATACATGATCCTTAATGTGCCCACAAAGAAAAAGTTCAAACAGATAATGTCAGGTGATTGGGTGGATCAAGAAATGAGCCTTAATAACCTAGACCATGTAGCAGTGGAGGTTCAAATTGCCACTGTGTAGCAGCAGGACCCTTTCAAGTATATGCATGTTAAACTTGGAGTATTGATCAATATTATCCAGCATGTTTTATTTACATATTGGAACAAATGAATTTTATAGAACAGTTTTAAACTAGAGGAATTCAAGGGGAACATCCTGTATTATATTGATACATTTAAAATTTAATAATTATTATCATAATGCCATAAAAAAATAAAGTTTAAAAATTGGTTTTATACATTAACTACTCTAATTATAACAACAAACATTTTACTTACAGAATTAATCGAATCTAATCTTTTCTCATTTGCTTTCAATTCGGCTTCAAAAGCTTCATGGCGTTGCAACTTTCTTTCCAAATTTGTTAGATCTCTGTATGATTCATCTGAAGCAGTCTTTAATTTTTCTTGTATCCATGCAGTCAACTGAAAATTTAAGTTAATTTTCTAATATTTTACTGATAATAATTTATAGTAAAATTATATAATTTCTATCATACCACAAATAGTTTCAATTATTAATGTTTATATTGTTTTTTCTATACTTAAAAAATATATATATAAACTTTGCAAATAAAAAAAATTAATATTAAATACCTCAAATATACTTATTTGTATTCTTTATTAGTAAACAATAAAAAATTTTTAAAACATTAAATTCTAATACCTCATTTGCATCTGCTCGGAATTCCTGATACGCATGAGAAGCCAAGAGAATTTGTTTTCTCTGATGAGCCTTTTCTTTAACAGACTGTCTTCTAGATAATACCTGATGACGTCTTTCACCAATGCTGTAAAATTACCAACATTTATTATTATTGTAGATGTAAATAACTTAGAAAAATTACATCATGTGAATTATATTACAACTAACTATTTGCTATCATAATGTTTTGCAGCAATAAGTTTGTCAGCCATCTCACTAAACAATCGTAATCTTTCATCTTGAGCTAAAAGTGTGTTGATAAAATTTTCATGTCGTTTCAATAAAGCTTCAACGTCGTCAAGAGTTGTCTGTTTAAAATTTTAAAAAATTATATTAATAGATCAGTTTTATATTTTTATTCTTAATTTATGGAGAAATATATAAAAAATTACTATTGCAAATAGAAATTCAAGATTAAGAAAACAAAAACTACTAATGTTATACTTGGCATTATGCAGGGTGTTTCCCTCAGATATCCCTAGTTTTGTGGATTATTAATTTTTGGAAAAGAAATATGAGTACAGTACTGTATACAATGATAACAGAAAGTGCATCTGAAACAGTTAATTATTACATTAAATCAGCACATTTCTGCAAATACTTCTAATAATATCTGGTTTGTAATTGAACTTAGCCGTTGTCCAAGCTAGCATGTTAGGAGTCATTTTATTAATGGCATNTTTATAAAAAAAAAAATTAATAAAATAAAATATAAAATATATAGATATGTATGTGTCGAAGAATAGTTTTTTATGAAGGATATCTCTATATTGAAGTAGGAAAAACAAAAATCTTTTCAGTTTGCTGATTGTGATTTTAGAGTGTACTAGTTGAAGAATTCTGTTATGGATGACGCGCACAAGACTGAAATTTGTTGATTAAAAAATAAAAAAAGGAGGGCAGATAAGGTTTTCATTAAGAAAAAATAAATAAATAAATAAACAATTGTGATGTCCTGGAGTTTGTTGGAAAAAATAAAAAAGAAGGGTGGTGAACCCTTTGAAATTCTTCACCTGCCAATTCGTTGTAAATTGCCATTCTGATTATAGAAATAAAGAAATTATTAAAAGAGTCTAAAAATTTTCATTTAAATGTTTTATAAATTTCTTCATGTTTTTAATTAGAAAATAATAATAATAATAATAAATTTACCAAAGTAAAATATACAGAGATTATTTTTAATTAATAGTAGCATTAAAACTGAAAAATTAAAAATAAATTATAATTAATAAAATGGAGCTTATCACACACAATTTATTTTGTATAATTAGCAAGTTTTAATTTTAGTTTTTAAATTCAAATTATAAAAACCTGATTGGATGATTTAAATTTAAAACGTGCTTTAGTGTCTCCATCTGTTGATTGAATTATCAGTTACAATTTAATTAATACGTTTCGTAATTACAATTAATTAAACAGCATTATAAATTACAAGTAATATATCGGAATTATAATTAATGATACGTTAGAAATTATGCTTAAATCTTTGCATAATTTATTTTTCTATTAAAAAAATATATATATTATTCGTTTGATTATAATTTTTTTCGGCACGATAATTTCTTAAAATATATTTTTATGTTTTATTTGAGTTATAGATTTAATTATTTATTCCTATATCATGTAATAATATGAAGATTTAATATTAAAAATAAAATATTACTTTATACTTTGGCTAAAAAAATAATTATAAAAGTAGCAAATTTCCTAACATTTTATTGTTTCATAATGAATTAGTATAGAATTTTCTGTATATTTAACAATATTTGTTATAATAGTTTATAATTTGGGCCTCTTTAGGGCCTCTCTCAAGCCATTAATGGCCCTAAAGAGGCCCTAGCATTATAAAAGGAGGATCTCTCGCTCCGAAATCCATAAATATATATGAAGAAATTCAATAAAACAACTAAAAAATAAGATTTTTTAAACCATTTATCAAAAGAAATTTTAATTTATATAACGTTTAATCACATTTTTTATATTTATAGGGATAAAATGGTTGCACTCTCATAGCTGAACCTTTTAATTATAAATGTAAAGATAATCATGGGAATTATTGATTAATATTTAATATATATAAAAGCCATTGTCTGTGTATGTGTGTGTATGTCCTTATAACTCCTGCAATTTTTATCCAATCCAGATGAAATTTTGGTTATATTCATTTTACATTCTGATGGAAAGTATAGGTTACTTATTTTACAGAAATATTAACTATAGAATAAACGTTTTATCAATTTTGGATTGGTGATCGCACTTACTGCAGTAATGTCAGTGTCCTCATTTAGTTCATAGTTGACAATGGAATTTCCCTTAAGTTGCATTTTTAAATATTTTGGCAAATGACATATTTTAAACTTCATTAAATTTAAAATTTAAATTTCAAATTTTAAAAAAAGATAGTTGCATCATGTTGCTTCTACAACAATTAAAAAAGAAACTTTTTATAGTGACGATGTGATGTTCTATTATCCAATCGGAAATAATGATCTAATGAGCCTGTTATTTAAAATGTATTATCACGCATTAACTATACCTCCACAGGCAGCATAGGATACTTAATTTGTAGAAACATTAGCTGCTCTTTTTTAATTTCTTGAAATCTGTACTCTTCTCAATTCTTCAATCTCCATTTTCTCATGGAAAGTAGTCAGTCATGCTTAACGGGGGAATTTATAGTTTAATATAATGTAATATAAATATAAAAATATTCTACTCTACAAAATTCTACTCTGTTAGCTAGCTGGCTGGTAAACATTTCTGAAATGAATCCTGTTGAATATGCAAATTTTTTCACAAAATAAGTAGGCATTAAATGAATTTACTTTCTTTGTGAAGTCGCTTAGATCACTCATATATACAAACAACAGCTTATAACTCATTCATTTTAACAACAACAATTAATATTTTCTACTGTTAGACTAAAGAATAATATTAACTGATGACTTATTCATATTATTATTAATGAAATATTATAATAAAAAATTATAGGATAAGTTTAACTTGAGGCTATTATATAATCTTTATTATCATAGTTTAGATATGTTTTATAAGATGGAAAAGAAAAATAGTAATTGCTTTTAGTGCTTAACTATGGTTAACTTATTTTCTTTATTGCAATCATGGTATTAGAATAGATACTTAAATATGCATATCACAAATACTAATTGAAAAGGTAAATTTACCATATGCCCATTTGCCCAATGGTAATACATTTATATTAAGAATTAATATATATTGTTTATGTATAGTATATATTCATCAACTAGATATAACTACAAATATTTAATTGAAAATATTCAGAAAAGTAAGTATATATATTTNTGACTAATATTATTTTCTTTTTTATTTTGTGCATGTTACAAGTTATAAATGAATATAAACAAACAACACTAACTCGATAACATTAAATCTAAATACCAAAATGATTAATTTACTGTGTTTTTGTTATTTATCACTCCTGTTTTTAGGTATTCGGTATTCGGCCGAATAGTGATTAAATATTCGGTATTCAGCCGAATAGTGATTAAATATTTGGTATTCGGCCGAATAGTGAAAAATAGGCCGAATACCGAATAGTAACCGAATATTCATTACATCACTATTGAAAATCTAATAACAGAGCATGTAATATTAAATACAACATAAATTTGATTATCCAAAACTCTGGATTATCTGAAATGGTTTAAAAAAAAACTAGAACATGTAGCATTATATATATCATAGTTTAATACACAGATGCCAAACTCTCCATGTAACTGGAAATTACTATGTCATCTGTTGATTGTAGTACCACAAAGCTAAGTCAAATGTACAAATATTACATTAGATTTTGAATGAATTAATTTACTTTCAAATACAGCAATTGCATTACAATATTTCTAGTCCATAAAACTTTAAGTGCACAGTGCTTAATGCATCCAAAACACAAAAACAAACAAGTTTTTTGATTGTCCAAGATTTCGTTTATTCAAAAGACCCTTGGTTTCATCAAGTTTGGATAATCACGTTTCCCCTATAGTTAATGTAGGATGATAATTTGTAGTTAGAATAGTATAAAGTATTGAATTAAAAACAAAAAAAAAAAAGAGATACAGCCAATTCTGTTTTTATATGATAGCTACATATGTGAAAATTTTATGTAAAAAGATATTGTTCATATATAAAAATGGTAGTTTAATTCCAGATCTTAAAAATCAGTAAAAACATTAAATAAACCCATTAATAAGATGTAAATAAAATATTTCAATATTAATTAATAAATTGGAGAAACTTATTTAATATAAATTTATTAAATTTTGCTGATTTTGCATATATTTTTTTTCATTTGACTTTTTTTCAATAAACACCAAACTACCTCTAGCTTTAAACATCAAAGGCATATAAAAACTATTCTGTACTGAAAGAAATCAGAAGAGATGCAAATCCATACTACTAAGTATTAAAATTCCACAAGAAGTCAGATCACAGAATAACCTGGTATACAGTATTACTGTAATGCAATTAGAATATCCAACAACACAGTAAAATACTAGTTTTTTGTTCTATAATTGACTTGTTTGTTGTCATGTGAGCTCATAAGAATTACATCTGAAAACTTTCAGTATTCAAATACCTAGCACAAGTTCTCAGGAACATGTTTGAGAACTTTCTAGAATAAAATAGTTTTCAATTTTTTCATTTGAACATTCTAGTCTTTATATAACAACCTATATGCAACTCAATACACTTGGTATGTTTGGTACTCTCATTTTTTATTGGAATCACATTGGATTAAACATAGTAATAAAATTTTTTTATGTATGTAATAAAAGTGATTTTTAGTTATTAATGATGTAAACACAAACAAAATATATTTACATTACATAGAAAATCAAAATATTAATATTAATATAAGTTTGTTAAATTAAAATTATATGAATAATTAGATATTTTGAATTTATTTTATTTAAAAAAATTAAATTCCATACCAAACTTTTTGTACTGTTTTTGAAAATCTGTAATCCCATAGAATCATCAAATCTTGCTCTTCTTTCTGCAGCCTTGGCCTANTAATATTAAATACAACATAAATTTGATTATCCAAAACTCTGGATTATCTGAAATGGTTTAAAAAAAAACTAGAACATGTAGCATTATATATATCATAGTTTAATACACAGATGCCAAACTCTCCATGTAACTGGAAATTACTATGTCATCTGTTGATTGTAGTACCACAAAGCTAAGTCAAATGTACAAATATTACATTAGATTTTGAATGAATTAATTTACTTTCAAATACAGCAATTGCATTACAATATTTCTAGTCCATAAAACTTTAAGTGCACAGTGCTTAATGCATCCAAAACACAAAAACAAACAAGTTTTTTGATTGTCCAAGATTTCGTTTATTCAAAAGACCCTTGGTTTCATCAAGTTTGGATAATCACGTTTCCCCTATAGTTAATGTAGGATGATAATTTGTAGTTAGAATAGTATAAAGTATTGAATTAAAAACAAAAAAAAAAAAGAGATACAGCCAATTCTGTTTTTATATGATAGCTACATATGTGAAAATTTTATGTAAAAAGATATTGTTCATATATAAAAATGGTAGTTTAATTCCAGATCTTAAAAATCAGTAAAAACATTAAATAAACCCATTAATAAGATGTAAATAAAATATTTCAATATTAATTAATAAATTGGAGAAACTTATTTAATATAAATTTATTAAATTTTGCTGATTTTGCATATATTTTTTTTCATTTGACTTTTTTTCAATAAACACCAAACTACCTCTAGCTTTAAACATCAAAGGCATATAAAAACTATTCTGTACTGAAAGAAATCAGAAGAGATGCAAATCCATACTACTAAGTATTAAAATTCCACAAGAAGTCAGATCACAGAATAACCTGGTATACAGTATTACTGTAATGCAATTAGAATATCCAACAACACAGTAAAATACTAGTTTTTTGTTCTATAATTGACTTGTTTGTTGTCATGTGAGCTCATAAGAATTACATCTGAAAACTTTCAGTATTCAAATACCTAGCACAAGTTCTCAGGAACATGTTTGAGAACTTTCTAGAATAAAATAGTTTTCAATTTTTTCATTTGAACATTCTAGTCTTTATATAACAACCTATATGCAACTCAATACACTTGGTATGTTTGGTACTCTCATTTTTTATTGGAATCACATTGGATTAAACATAGTAATAAAATTTTTTTATGTATGTAATAAAAGTGATTTTTAGTTATTAATGATGTAAACACAAACAAAATATATTTACATTACATAGAAAATCAAAATATTAATATTAATATAAGTTTGTTAAATTAAAATTATATGAATAATTAGATATTTTGAATTTATTTTATTTAAAAAAATTAAATTCCATACCAAACTTTTTGTACTGTTTTTGAAAATCTGTAATCCCATAGAATCATCTAATCTTGCTCTTCTTTCTGCAGCCTTGGCCTATTTTTTATATATATATAAAATATAATATATATTATTAAAGCTATTTAAAACTGGATTTTAATGAGTTAAAATTTCCAATTTACCTTAACTTTGTCCCACATTTCTTGCAATTGCTTTTGTCTGGCTGCAACATTTGCTGTTTCGTTTGGATATGATGCTTTTACTCTAATAAATTAATAAATATTTTTATATTAAAAAATTATTAAATGAAATTCTAAATAATTTACAACAAACAATTTGAAGATAAATAAATAAAACTTATTATTAAACATATTTAAACAATATAATTTATTTTGAGTTGAATATTTTTCATTGTATTAGTCTTATAAACAAAATGCTAATGATATAAAAACATATTTTTAAGAACTAACACTACATATTCCACTTGTTTTAACTTTTTTAGTACTGTACTTTATTTTATATATAAATATTTTACACTACTGTAGAATGAAATTAATGTGTTTCTGCCATTGTAGGGGTAGAGTAGTTAGAATTAGGTGCTGACATTTTAGATGTTATATAAACAAACTTGTGACTTAGCTGTCAGCCTACGAAGATTATTCATTTGTGTGTCTCCCGACAATGGGTTTGGTTGCCTGAGAGTACTTGAGAAAAGCTGTTATCAAAGTGAACTCCGATAAAATAGACCTTTTGTTATTGTTATATTTTTAAAGAATATGGAGTTGTTTCTCATTATTTACAATGAATACATTTAAGTACAGATATCAACATCTTAAACCCAATAGTTATATATTAAAGCCAAATGATTGCCAGATTATATCAGACTATATTACTACAAGTAGTAAAATAGTCTGATATAATCCAGCATTCGTTTGGTTTTAACATTTAAATACCTAATTTTTAATTGCATCTAAGCCAAATATTATTCAAAAACCAATGTCTTCATAAACAATTTTTTAGTAATAGATTATAGAAAAATATTGGTATTCAGTTTACTATAATTGTTAAAATCATTTCTAATCAATAATAAAATGTTATGTTCTGGACTTACGAATCAGCCAATAAATTTACTCGATTAAATTTTTCTCCAACTGGGGCAAGTTCTCTTTCTAAATTCTGTTTAAAAATTTTTTTAATTAAATTTTATGTAAAATAAAATAAAATAAAATTTTTTATTTTGATAAACTTACTTGATGTTTTCTTTGTAATGCTTGTACTGTTTTCATGTCACGTCCTAAATCATCAACATCCATTTTGTTCAATTTTTCCATCATCCATTCGTAGGCATCGTCACATGTCCGATTAAATAATTCAACACTAAGTAATGCAACAACATATACATTAATTTTATTATATTGTTGAAACTAATATAATTGGAAATGTTTCAAAAAAATTAAAATTAAAATGTTTTTCATGTAAAAATATTTTATATTGATAATATGATTATTTTTATATAAAATTCTATTTCCTAATTTTGCAAAAACTATATTTAAATTATTCAATATAATAATATAGCTAGTAAATTATATTATTATTTCATTTTAAATATAATAAAACATATTTTTTTAAATAATTAATATTTTTTGAAAAAATGATATAAAAAATTCACTTTACATGTATTATTATAAAAAAATAATAATAAAAATTATACTTTTTTTGTTATTAATATGAAGTAAAAGATTAAAATTTTAATTTCCAGTAATATTTATATTATTATTTCTAAGATTAAAATTAAAAAATTTTCCTCGGGTTTAGACTAATTACTACAAAGAGCAATTAATTCTTCATATCAATAAAAATGTATAATGCTGAATATAACTGATTATATTTACAATACAACTTATATTTTTATATAATTAAAGCCTTAACAAAAACTTGCCTTGTTGCACCTTCTAAACTTCTTTCTTTATCTATCTTTAATTTATTTAATTTACTCCACCTAAAATTTATATGTATTTTAATTGATTTCTCAAATTATTTGATCAAAATTATTTGGAAAAAGTTAATTTTAATTTTATATAAATTAATACCGATCATGGATTTGTTTCTGTCTTGTTTTGATAGCATTAAGTTGGCTATGATGATTCTGTACAAATTCATTAACCATACAATCAATATCATCAATTCTTCTACAACTAGCAGAAAGATCTGTAAGGAAATTCTAAAAAAAAAAAAATCGTTCATAAAATAAATTGGAATAAATAAAATAAAATAATTGTAAAAAAAATAAAAAACTGAATATATAATAAAAATATTTTCAAACGTATTATGTACAGTACATGTATTCTTTGATTAATGCAGTTAATTAATCCCTCAATGCTACTGCATATACCAAAATCACGTAAATCAAATACATTGGTACCTCAGTACTCGATCAAACAATCACTGCAAGAACAAATTTCTGGTTAATAAGAAAAATAACAAATTCTCCAACACCTTATTTGCCAAGAAATTGTTAAGTAAAGACAGCTTTTAAAACCACATTAATTAAAATTTTTGCTGCAATTAATTTCACATATTAATCAAATCCTGTGTAAGTAGTGGCATGCAGTGACATTTGATGGGGAAGCTGTTGTGGCCAACTTGGCAACACCTCACCATGTCCCCAGATTTAGTCTTTTGTCTCCCTCTCCAGTTCATTCTTACCACATGCATTGTACTGGTGCCAGTCCTTGTACTCGAGTTCCAAATAAAATTATTTTATTTTTTAAGATTCTGATTATTTGGTCTAAAACCCAAACTGTTTCCATAAAAAATTTTGAACAAATACAGGAAATGACAAAAATAAACAGTTTATTTTAATTCTAAAATAGATAATTTACATAAAACGAAGATATAAGAACTTGTTTTTATTATTTTTTATAAACTATTTGGTGATTTTTTCCTGCAAAGTCATTAATTACTTTATCAAAAAAATCATTTGTCGTTGATTCCATCAAAGTATTTAAAAGCTCTTTTCCTATTGAAAGCAATGCTAGTGACAACAATCTTTCCTCCAACTGAGTGTTCCTTGCAAATGTATCAACTCGCTTCATGGTTGAAAAACTGCACTCAACAAATGCACTCGTAGATGGTACCATGAAAATTAACGATATTAAATCATATAATTCTTTTAGTACATCTTTGTTCAGATCGTCATTAATTATAATACATTTTATGTCCAAGAGTGACTTGCCAATTTAGTATGGACACGAATATAAATATTGCAATCCACTACATAATTTAAATAAATTAAAAAATTCTCCATAAAATTTACTTAATTTAAAGAATTAAAACTCGCTTTGGAAAATTGTTTTTCATAATATTTAAAATTATTAACGTCTAAAAGTGATAAAAATTCTCAAGATTTTATGTCTGAAAATCTGTCAATATAATTATAATTAAAAAACATTATAATTAAATATAGCTTTCTAAAGAAACGTACATAAAAATAACATAAAATATTCTTTACTTTTTAAATCTTAAAACAATGCACTTAGTCAAATAGCTCTGTATGAGTGGCTAATGGATAGAATCATTGGAAGTGTTATACGATATTTTGGTGTGTAGCATCCACCAGCTAAACCACATGAGGTTGGTGCTCTGTAAAGCGCATGTGCAAATGCATATAATCTGGATGCTTTACACCATTCAAATATTTTCGCTGTGGAAGCCATTCCGTATTCGACAATACAGCGCTTCCATTGCAAATATACATATGTGAATTCATATTCAAATATACAATAGCAATCTTATCATTGTTTTTCACAGGTATAGAAATTTGTAATAAAATACATAATGTGGTTATAATAAAATATTAATTTTAAGTAATTTAAAGTGTGTTAAAATATCAAAATATTCACACAATATGTATTTATGTTTTAGAAAATACAAGGGAAGCAGCACTTCCACAGCTTCCCTAAACAGCACGCCACTGTGTGTAAGCAAGAAATACTTGTACTATGTAATGTATAATTTTAAATAAACATATTGGTATATGTTAACTGTCAGCAAGAACAAAGAATAAACTTAAATACAGACAAACCTCAAACTTTTTCTTCATGACTTCTACACTATCATTAGGATCTTCTGTAGTTAACATTTTTTCCTATAAAGTTTATAAAAAATGATTATTTAATTTATTTTTCCTTATAATATCTAGTTTTAAAATATTTAATTATTACCTTATCTTTCATCCAAGCTTCAAAATCATCACATTCTCTATAGAAACCAAAAAGACATATTGCATCTTCTAAATATAAACGTCTCTCCTAGATAATGAAAATAACTTTTATTAATATATTTTATATATAGTTTAAAGAATATAATAAATGACATTAAATCATTAACAAGTAAATTGTAAAAAAATGTTATTTTTCAGCACTTCTTTTATAATATATATTTAAATACTTGGAAAAAATCTGGATATAAAAATATAAAGAAATTATGATCACATGCTATCTAAACATTGTCTGATTGAATATTAATTTTGATATATGGTTAATATATCAAAATAGTATTTAGTATTTAGCATTTAATAATCTATATAATTATATATTTAGTTAATGGCTTCAAATAGCTTCAATACCTCTTAATGAATTTATTGTATAAAACAGATTGTAATCATATGATTTTCTAGATTTTGGACAAAAGCCCATTGAATATTTTCATTATATAAAAGAAATTAAATCATTTATAGAATATGGTAAAATAATATACAAGATTTATGTTAATTTAAACTTATAATAAAAAATACTATCTAATTTTTTATTCAGAAAATTGCACCAACTGATAATTAAAAAAAAATCAAACGTTCATCCTCAACTTAGTTATAAATAATGTAAAATATACTCAAAATAATTATTCTCATATTTTCTTTGAGTTTAGATTTTAAAAATTTTTAAATAATAATTATTTTTAATTTATTACTTTAATTGAAAGTTATAATTTTAATATTACCTGTGACAATTTAACAAGATGTTCATAAGCTACATTGATTACATTCTGACGTTCTTTTACATTTTCTCCTTCTTCGGGTTTACTAGATGATCTAGATAATGTCCTTTCTATCGGATAAACAAAATAATAACATGTAATAATTATTGCTGTTTATTTGTTAAAATAATATATTGACATTTTCATAAAAGAATAGCTTCAGGATTAACGTAGCATAATACTAATTTAAGGATTGAAATTTATATTAGTGGAGAATATTCAGATCAAAGTAAAAACTATTTGTTGATGTTAGATAAATAATTAAATATAAAAAAAGTATAAACAAAAAATATATACACAGTATATATATATGTATACAATTTCATTTAAATATTTTTGTAAATTATATAAATTCATTCAAATATGCTAAGGCAAAATCTACTTCCAATTCATTAAAGTACTTTTGTATTAATTATATTTACATTTTTACATCATTTTAAAGTATATTTGGATATAGATGAGCCCTATTGCATCAATTTTACTCTTTAATTCATTTAAAGTAATTAGAAAAAAAAAATGCACACAATTTCATTCTTGCCTTAATGGCACTCTGTCCTGCAATTCTGGCTATTGAGTTTACTCCCATGAGCCCGTACAATATAAAAATGCTTCTGAAAATAACTTTGAGTTGAGATTTTTCTATTCATCCCAATTAGTGTGTGTGTGTAATATAAACTATTTTTCAATCTTAAATAAAGAGTTATTGACTTACTTATCTCAGGAGATTTATCTTTTTTCCTCTTAATGACTTTCTTTTTTAATACAGTCTTCTTAACTCGTTGTTTCTCAGGAACTTTTACTGGTTGTTTTACAACTTTTCTTACTATTTTTGGCTCAACTAATTTAACATAATTTGCAGGAACAAAACCATCTTGTCCATTTGCTTTTCTGACATTCCACCAATCAGCATTTGTTTCGTGAATTAATATCATTACCTGAAATTATTATTATGGATATATAAATTGAGTAATTCAAATTATAAAATATGATTAAATATTTGTTTAATTAACATTAATTTTAAATTAAATACTAATAGTAAATATCTTTATTAAATAATGAAATATATAAATAAAATATAAAAATCAATAAAAAATTTTTGAATGAAATGTCATCTACTAATTATATTTGTTTATATTTAATTTTCATTATAGAATATATTATTAAAGATTTAAAGTATATTACTGTATATGTATATAATTACAGAAGAGTAGTATTTAATTGAAAAATATATATTAACTAGCTGGTTACATCTGGCTTTGGCCAGGTTTATAAAGTATTTGTAGCAGTAATTGTAACAACCAGTGTTATTAATTGTAAATTTGAAAAATGTATGTGATAAACCCATTTTATGAACATTATCAGAATGCCTATAAACTATGTAGAAGTACTTGTATGTTCTCAGAAATAGTGAGTTTATAGAAAAATTATTAGAATTAGTTTGGTTTATTTTGTTATAATAATGCAACATGTTGGGATCTGCCAAGGGAGATGCCTTGCAGGAAGACTTTTATGTGAAGCTGGCCCCCTATTTAAGTGTTACTAATGTGAAGAAAACTTGGAAAACTCCTTGTGGCTGGTCTGTTGGCAAGATGCAAACCCATGAGCAACTACAGTGTTCAATGGTTTTATCTACTCGGCCACTGATGGGCACTTATTAGAATTAAGAAAGTACCATTCAGAAATGAAACAACCCGAGTTGTTATTTGTAGAAAGTTAAATACCTATAAAGTTTCACAGAGTAACACTTTCAACTTCAAGCAGGCAAGAACTATGTGCTACCCATTGCAGTAATTAAGTAAATATATTTGTTTTTCAAATTACAGTAGAGCATCAATTATCCGACCCTCGATTAACCGTCACATCGGTTAACCGATCGTTCTAGTTGGCAAATTTCAAATCTTTGCTAGTGATGTGGACTACAATATTTGGCTATGTCTTGGCTACTTTAATATTATTTTTGTTAAATTTTTGCGTGTTTTAGTTGGCAACCCTGACTCAACCATTGAAGAGAGGTCAGTATTTAAACGAGACTTAATTTTGTAATTATGAGTGGTTTTGTAATTATGAGTGGTTTTGTGAGCAATAAAATAATTTAAAAATAATTTTTAATGATACAATAGTGACGATTATTATTTTTAAAAAAATTTCTTAGGCTTAACATAGATGAAAATTCAACGCGAAGTTGGTTAATAGCGATATACTATACTAATTACATGGGATATACTAATATACTATATTAATAATGTATTTTTTTTTCATTTTTTTCAGTTATCCGATTTGTTCAGTTATCCGACCAACCTGAGTCCCCAATTGAGTCGGTAATTGATGCTCTACTGTATATCCTTTTTGACTAGAGCAAGAGAAGACTTTATATTGTATAGCCTTTGTTTGTCAATTTTTACAATTATTGTCCTGACAATTTTATCAACTGTAGAATATACAATTGTATCAAATGTATATAATGCCCATGTGTTGCATTGCGACAGGTGGACGATGTGTGAAGGGGGATGCCTCCTAGGAGGGAGTTTTATGAAAAACTGGCTCTATTTAGGTGTTACTAACTTGAAGAAAACCTGGAAAACTGCACATGGCCAGCCCGTTGGTGATGGGTTCACCCATGACTGACTATGAGTGTAACAGTTTTGATTCCACACAGGTAAGTGCCAAATGCTACTCATCAAAGTAATTATAGCAATTATAGCACAAAGTATTATTACTTTGTGCTATATCATTGTTGCAGTAACTAAGTGAATATACTGTAATAATATTTGTTTTTTTTAATTATATGTTTTTTTATACAAATTATGTTTAGTTTATTATTTTTTTAATTTTTTGCCAATAGATGGTGCTACATGTAAATTCAGCAAATCCAATGTAAACAGAAATTAATTGATATAAAAAAATTCAGTCAATATTTTGGGTGTGATGTACAATTATCTAAATTAGAAGTATGTTAACATTAGCAAGGTTGTGGCCAAAATTTTCAACTCTAAAACATGAATGTCAAATGTCAAGTTCCACTTTGCTTACAAGATAGTGGCGCTCGACATTCAATGTTCACATTTTAGAGATGAAAATTTCGGCCACAACCTTGCTATTACTGCTGACTTTTGTAGCAATTGACAGACTAGGAGTATAAAACAAACAAACATTCTCATTTATATTTATACACATTAGAACTAGAAAAATGTACACTTGTAAATTGATTAAAAAATTTATCAACAGCTTAAATCATATAACTAAACTTCTTATATTATCGTTTAATATAAAAAACCATGTTAAATTTCTAATATTACCTCTCCTCTCTGTATTTCCATTCCATGACCTGAAAAAGGATAGAGTGCACGAACTTGTGGAATTTTCCTTTCATCAATAACATCACGAAGAACCTCCTTTTCAACTATTTCATCAACAAATTCTTCAGTTGGAACCATGACAACTTCTTCAATCCATTCATCTACTTCAGGTTCTTCAACAAATGAATCCACTGGCTGTAGATTATATAATTTTATGTAAAGTTTTTATTAAAGAAACTTTCTTGATTACATATAACTAAATGTGTTTTAAATATAATAATTGTGATAAATTATAAAACAATAATATTTGAAACAATTAATTTTAATAAATATGCTTACATATAATATTGAAATTCCTAATTCTATCATTCTTTGTGCTTGATCATTGAGTCTTTTTATATCTGAATCATATGCTTTTATTTCACTTTCTAAACGACTGTGACGTTGAAGAAGTGCCTTTAAAATGAATTAAAATCAAATAAGTTCTCTGTATGAAAAATAAGTAAAAAATTGATTTAGATAAATTGAAAATATAAATTATTCATACTTGAGCACTTGGTTCATCTTTTCCATAATCTTTGCTGGAAACTAATTGTCGTTTCTCTCGTATCCAGGATTCTGCTTCATTGGCGTCAGCATGATACTGTAGTTAATGGAAAGTTATTGAATATCAGATAACAACAATATATTTTTAATAAAAAATTTCAAAAATATTTTACCTGATAAGCTTCAGAAGCATCCTCTAATTGTTTATTTTTTGCAGCCCATAATTCATGTAAATATTCCCATTGACTTTTTAAATCATCAACTCTTCTTCTTACATCTTGTTTCTCGGGATGATTATTATTTATTAATTTTTCTCCAGCTTCTGATACTTTCTGAGCTCTAGGTAGTCTTGTTTTAATTTCTGCTTCTAATGCCTATACAAAACATTTGAAATTATTTAATATTTTTAAAGAAATTTAAAATAGAATAATAAAACTTATTTTGTAATTTAAGTGATTTCTATTGTGTTTTTAAATTTTAATTAATAGTTATTTCTAAAAAATTTACTTTATGTTTTTGTTGTAATGAAAGAGCTCCTTGAAGATCTCTTCCTGGTACAACAGCTTTACAAATTCGTTGCCTTTCTATCACCCATGCCTCTTCTTCCTCATGATCTTGAACAAATTGGAAATAGACTCTGGATTCCTCTAGTTTATCTTTTCGGGCTTTTGCTAATTGTAAAAGACTAAGAGAAAGTCATCATATTAATAAAAAAGTAAAATAAAATTAATTATAATAATTTAATTTAATACATTTTGCTTAACTAAAAGTTAATATAAATTATATCTTAATTCATCAAAACTATATTAAAATAAACATAAACATTTAAAAAACTGACTTCTTCTGATAAAGTTATCTTAGTCCATTTTAATAATTTATACTTGTATTTTATATATAGGATGTTTTTATACTTTACATTCATCCAGGTACAAAAGATATCTTTTCATCATTGTGCAAATATATGCATATGGTGCATTAATTCCATTGCAATATTTATAGTAAAATAAATTATCATAATAAATAGGTTCATTCATTCAAAAAAGGAACATGTGTAAATTGTACTGGAGTTCTATGGCAATATGTAAATTTTTTAAATGTAAGAACAAGATGCAAATTAAAATTCAATCCTGACAAGTCATGTAGTATCAATGCTTTATAACCATGAATACTACGGTAAAATGATTATTCTTTATGAGGATAGGAGAAGAAATTCATGAGAAGCAGTACATAGATTCCACAAACACTTTCCAGCTGCATCAATACTTACACTTATGACAAGTCTGAATATAATATACTGCTTGATACAAACTAGTAGCATAGTCAAAGGTAATGGTCCAGATTGTCCTCATCTTCACAGTGTTAAAGTATTGGCATATTTCCAGGCATATTCACAGACAAGCATAAATGAAGCAGCAAGACAAAGTGAATTAAAACAAATACAAATACTGTACATCAAATTTTAAATTGTTTTAATTTGCAATAATTCAACTGCAATCTGCAACTGGGAAGTATGCATGGGATAAAAAACAGCAATTTAACTGGTGCAACATGATACTAAATTTATGCCAGATCACACCATGACTGCTTGACCACACTATAATTCATATTGCAAGCAAAATACACAACACTAGATGCATTTTACACTAAACATCTCATGCGGATCTGGAATCTGCAGATCTGAACAACTTCTTGGTCCCATATTCATCAATGGCATCCTGACTACTGATTGATGCCTTAATATCCTATACATGATAGTGGACAAATGGCTGGACAACAACTTACCTTAGAGCAATTGCAGAATGTTTGGTATCAGAAGGATACTGTGCCAGCTTATTCCTGAACAGACATGCATCAGTGGGTCATAGAGCAATTCAATGACCAATGGATAGAACAATGTAGCCCTGTTCCATGACCATCACATTCACCATACTTAACCTCCTGGATTTTTTCCTGTGGAGTAATCTACAAACATCAGGATATAATGTGTACTAAGCAGTCCTGCATGATATTGACAAGCTGGAGAGATGAATATGAGAGGATATAGGACAGTGACACCAGGTATGCTATGTGCCATCATAATGCCACTCGCAACCATTTACACTTTTGTACTGCTGCTGAAAGTGATTCTTTTGAACACATATTATAGCAAAGTTAATTGTTTTTGATTAATTCATGCAATGTTGATTTTATCCTTTATAGTCATATTCTTTGTACATTATGATAAATCTTCTTAAAATGATTCCCCTCCATTATACTTGTGCTCAGGAAAAATGGAAAAATTTATATATATTGCTTTGGAACTACCATATGATTTATGCATGTCATTGCTTTTGAACAAATTAATTTATTTTACTATAAACACATACAGTAGAACTAATGAACCGTATGCATATACTCATGCAATGCCAGAAAGATTTCTTTTGCACCTGGATAAATGTTAAAGTGAACATCCTGTACAACAGTATACAGTAAATTCCCACTAACTTGAACTAATAGGAGGTGAAGGTTGTCCAAGTTTACAAAAATCTGAGTCAGCATAGTATTTTCTCCAATGATGTGGAAAACAAAAAGGTACATTATAGTAATTTATCATGATCAACTCCATACAAAAATTTTGCTAACCTTTAGTAGGTTATGCAGCCAAATTTATTACTATAGGAAATGAGCTCAAAAAATTTCATGACAATACACTATACAGTAATGTACAGTCTTTAATAACTTACTGACTGTGGTAATATAATGCATGGTATCACAAAGACTTCTGGATATTAAAAACATTTGTTAAAAAAGTTATAATTACTTGTTAGTTATAATTTTTATATTGTCAAGAAGTTTTAAATAACCGTAAAATTTTTCAAAATAATTTATCCGAGTTATGTGAAATCTGATTTGGTGGGTCCGAGTTAGCAGGTTTTGCTGTATAAAAATATTACTCATATTTAAAATATTGAAATTAAATATTTACATTAATTGAAAATTCATATAAATAGTTAATTAAAATATTTTAAACATAAATATACAAGTTAGAAGTCAAATTTATGTCATAAAAAAATATTTTTTTATACATTATACAAATAGAATCTTTTGTTATTACATATTAATCAGATAGAGTCCTTCAGACAAGAGTGTGATAATTGCAATACTAAAATTACAAAGTGATAGAATCATTAAAAAAAAAGGAGAAACCAATATGTAAGTTAAACAATACATAATAATAAAATTGATAATAAAAAAATTATAATTGCCAATACACAATACTAGTTAAACAAGTCATACAAGATCATGCAAGATGATGTATCATACAATTTAAATTTCATATGTAATATAGTTACTTTTTCATATCAAGTTGAAACATTTTTTAAAATTGATACTTTTAAATAGTTTTCATTAATCTATGTAACATTATATTTAATATTTTATAATTAACTACATGGGTATCCAAGTAGTTAATTATAAAATATTAACAGAATTACAGACTGTTCAAGCTGATTTTGATAAAATTTGAATATCTCTGGGTTAATATTAAATATTATATATATATATATATACAACATATATTTACTTTATTAAATTTATGGAATATATATTTATAATATTTGTTAATTTATAAGTTAAGTAAGAAATTAATTTTTTACAATAAATTTAAAACTGAGATTAATAGAAAAACTTATATATTTTGCTATTACTTTGTTTATACTAGGAATTTAATGATATAGACAGCAATGAGTTTTAATAAAAGTAAAAATGAAAAGTTTTCTAATAATCATAATAATCTTAAAAATTCTTCATTTACAAAACATATAAATTAGAGACAAATTTCAATAATATATTTAAAATTTCAAAAATATTCTGCTTCCAATAAAAAATTTTTATTTTCAATATTTTTAATTGGTTATTCTCAAGACAGAATACATAAATTCTGCCCTAAAATTGTATACAGTCAGCAATATGTAGATAGGATATAATTATAGTTCATATATATGTTTCATTTAAATAATGGATTTAGAAGAGAATAGATTTTTATTATAAATTAATTTTTAGTTGATGACAATGACTTAGTCTCCTTCTTAGGCCCACCATTGGCCGAGTGGTCTTTGTACCCTGAACACTAGGAGTTCAGTTGTGGGTTTGCGCCTAACTCAGATGGGCTGGCCATGTGGAGTTTTCCGAGTTTTATCCATGTCTAACGCATAAATAGGGACCAGTTCTCCTGGAAGGCATCCCCCTAGGCAGATCACCCCCAAGTGTTGCATTGCCATAACTTAACAAACAAACATTTTGAGTCATCATATGAGGTAAAAAGTAGCATTGCAGATTGTTGCAAAAGATGGCTTAAAGCAATGTTTCCAGAAGGTGTATGAGCATTGGAAAAAGTGTATCATCACACAAGATTTTTTGAAGATGGCTGTGTATCTGTGTTTCAACTATTCAAGGCAAGGAACTATATGCAAAATCCCCAAACTTTTGAATCCTACTACATATCACTAGGATTTCTGATCTTAGCATTACTCTGCCGGCCAAATACAGATTCTGAAACAAAAGACGTTGCTTGCATACTNAGTCTAAAATATATGTAAACTTACTTATTATATTCATCATTTAATTTTTCAAGTCTTTTTTGTAAAACTGGAGCTTCCTTATGACCTTCATGGACAAATTTTTGAGCCTGTTTATTTAACTTATTTATTGTATCTCCCTGAGATATAATTTGTGCCTCCACTAGACTATGTTTCTGTAATAAATCTTCAACAGATAACAAATGACGTCCATAATCATCAGAATAAAAACCACCCTAATAATAAAAGACATCCAATTAATTTTAATTTTTCATTCTGTAAATATTTTGTTTAACAATTGCACTAAAAGTATCGATTACATATTTATAAGTTCCTTAATCCTTATTCAAATAGCCTCTAGTCCTTTTTTCTTTTTAGGATTTTATTCTTTAATAGCTATGTATTTTTTAACTATTAATCTTGACTTATATCATGTGGTATGATAATTCCAGATTAATAGCCAAACAAATCATTTCAGTTATTATTAACTGAAATAATATAATAAAAATTTATAGTAGAGGAAGCATTAAACAGATAAGTTATATCAAATATACATTTTATCAACTGGCAATCAAAATCTCATATGAGTCAAAATCACATTTTTGTATTAATGTGTTGTAAAGTCAATTTCTATATATTGCCAAAACCTCGTAAGTAGTGTGTACCTTTGAAGCACTCTCTCTGACATTGTCAAAAACTCTCAACTTGTACTCAAAATTTTGCTTCCTTGACACGACATTTTTCAGCTCGCCTGTAAAATTTCAGGAAATGCAGATACGAGGTTTTGATCGCCAACCGATGATTTATTAAGTGTTATTAAGTTGATTTCTACTTTTACAGGTTACAAAACTTGATAATTACTACTTATATTAAATACAAAATACTTTATCACTATTCCAACCAAGTTCCAATTTAAATCAAAAATAATACGGCTTAACAATGTTCAAATTGTCTTTGACTGAAGCCATATATCTTTTAATTTTAGTAGTTATTTTCACAAATAACTTTCTAATAATTTATTTTANAGAGGAAAATTTGCAAATATAATATTGACTAATACAGTTGCAAACATCACGAAAAACAGGAATAATAGAATTCTGTATAATAACGGAAGAATTATAACAATAAAAATGAAATGATCACTGTATGACCTGACTAGTAATGTTGCAGTTTTCTTATTGACAGAAACTATAAAGCTCTGTTAGGCATCAACGAAAGAATAAATAAATAAATATGTATGATATAATTATATTGTGCTATGAAGTTCTATTAAAATATATGTGGATTAATCATTAACAAATAAGTAAACACTATAAATTTCTGTTTTTGAAGGTTAACATTCTTAAGGATGTATTATTGAAGAATAAATAAATAAATATACCTAAAAAAGCTGGATTGCTGGATATTATAAATTTTTGTATAATGATAGTTTATTAACTTGAAAAATTTGATTATAAAATAGCTAATTTGTCATACATTATTAATTTTAATAATTAGATCATTTTTCATTCAAGTAAACAATAAATTATGTAATTTAACCATCAAATTATTTATTAAAATTTGATAAAAACTAATCTATTCTGATTAAAACTAACCTGATAAAGTCTATTCTATACTGAATCAAAAAATTTAGTATTAATAATTTTATAGGAATTTATAAATTCAAACAACTTATTAAAATGTAAAAAAGAAATTATAAATTACATTAATCTTACTTAAAAACTAATAAGACATAAGCTTTTGATTTATCATCTATAAAAATTTAAATTTATAAAAAAAGTCAATACCTCAGTTGATCTAATTTCTGCAGTAATAGTATCAATTTCTCTTAACATGCTCATCAAATTACTAAAGTTAGTCAACGTTATACGATGTTTCTTAAGTAACTCCAATAAATAATTCCATCGTTCCATTATTTCTTGTTCTCTGTAAATATGATCTTGTAAAATCACTTTAAAATTCATATAATAAATCATTTTTTATTTAATTATCAGGATGATTCAAAAGTTCCAGGGCACTGACAACACTATCGTGAAAAAGATCTGTAGCACTGGCAAAAGTGCTGTGAATGCAAATGAGGTCGTATTTGCATCATCATCAAAGCATGTATTATCATTTTATAGCACTGTTGAATTCATTCCTTTGGTGAATTTTGTTTTCCACAACAAAAAATGACTGATAAAAAAAACTCATCATTCAAGACACATTGCATCATTACTACAGACAAGGGTCCAGTGCAAGAGCAGCAACAGAGAAAATTTGTGAATTTGAAGGCACACACCTGATGAACAAGACAACTGCAGCTGAATGGTTCTGGAACACCAGCCTCATAGACAAGACTTGGTCTAGATGACTATTGGTAGAATTTAGGCTGTCAAGTACATTGGAAATTTGTTCCTAATAAACAGGCTGTTTACAGCAACCTCTATGCTGATCAACTGGAAAGAGCACTTGAAGTCCTGCACACTTGCTATCCAGCATTGCTTAATGAAAAGCATACACTGCTGCAGCATGATAGTGCTCTGGCACACCATTCCAGAGTGGTCTAAGAAAAGTTAAAGGAGCTGAAGATGATCAAAGTTTTGCTTTCCCCAGCATACAGCCTTGACTGGCTTCATCAGACTTTCACCTCTTCCAATCATTGGCACATGATATTGAAAACAGGGTTCATGAGTTTTGGCATCAAAACCAGTTAAGTGGTATTGCCAAGGTATCCACCAATTTTCAGAGATAGGTCAAGACCATAGCTAACAATTGCTTTTATTTTGAGGAATGACCATGTCTTTCTGTTTTAATATCAATAAAATTTTGTATCTTGTCTGTGTCCAGGAACTTTTGAATCAACCCGATGATATGAGGATTTTTTTTGTCTTTTCTACAATTAACAAATTTTTATGTAATTCAGGAAAAATATATTTTAACTTGAAATCATCAAGTAAGTAAAGTAAGTAAAAATATAATTATTGTAAAATCATTTTAAACTGTAATATAATTTAAGTGTAAATTATACTATTTGGTCATTAAAATTTAAAAAAAAACATTAGGACTTATTAATGTGTAACACATAACACATAAGCAGAGATAGAGCCCATTCCTTGAAAACACAAAAGATCAAAGGGACAAAGATTATGAGCAATGATCCTAGAACTCATCAATTATTTATTATTCATATAAAATCTATAAAATTTGTTATTCAATAAGTAATATATGGATAATGGCACAAATTTAATAATTTTTTCAGTCAATTTTGGGAGACAATACTCCTCCAGGTCTCTTGTATAATACTACTAATGATGTAATATTAGCACTCAATGAGCCTAAATACACATTATGTAATAAAGTTAACTAGCTAACTAAGATGAGGAATAATGTTCCAACTCAAATAGTCCATTAGATTTATCACAATGAAGAGTTTGGGGTTTTAAAGTCTATTTACTGTATCATACAATCATCTCATCACATAATGAAAATAAATATAATAGATGCAGCCATTACAAATAAGTTTTGTCAGCTATACCTTTGTCCATCAGTGTGAATAATTTATATAATTGGCATTAATACATGTATATGGATGACTATTTTACATAATTATCCTCTATACAAAATATTTCATATGAATCTGAATAAAATTTTAGTAGTAAAAATATATTTGAAAGCTATTAATGGAATGTATGATTTATATAAAAATTAAGTGGATGAGAAAATTCAGTTAAATTTAACTTAAATATTCCAAAAATTAAAAAACAGAAATGGTTTGATTATTAACTTTACTTTTATTAATTACTGACTAATTTTCATCAAATTAATATTATAAAGAAATAACTATTATCTGAAATTGCAGAAATAAAAATGAATATCTTTCTATCTCATCCAAACTTCTTTTTCTTATTTTTAAGTTTTCATTTTTTGATCCCATCTTTCCCTAGGAAGCATGCTTAAGTATACTTTTATAAGAACATTTCTCAATTATTCTTTATCATCATATTGTTTTATGGTCTTTTCCTATCAGAAATTTTAAAGGATGGGCAACATTATCTTTCACTTAAGATCAATATTTTCAAATATGATATTAAAAAAATTTTAATATTTGACCTATTTAACTCATTAACATTTTCTTCTCTTAGAAGTGAATGTAAATTTCTATATACCAATTTTCTAAATAGATTAATAAGAAAATTAATATATTGCAGTATCAATATTAATCATAAATAGTAAATTTATAATGTTAAAATTTTTAGTTACCTTTTCTTGATTCTTTCTTTACTATGATAATTTTCTCTTACTAACTCATCAGCCATTATTGCTAAATTCTTAAACCGTTCTTCCTATCAAAATGAAATATGAATATGTTAGCATATAATATTAGGAAAGAACTTTTTAACAATCATTTAACTTAATTGCTTATTTTTCAAAAATTGTGAAGAAAAATTAAATATAAATTTTTTCTAGAGAAAAGAATCTAATTGTTTTTTTAATCAATGTATCAAAATGAATACAATGAAAAATTTTTACAACATATTAATATTTTATGAATTAGATTAATTAGTATATTATTTACAAAATAAATGGAATATTACACTGGGTTCACATTGACATATGAATTGCTACAAAGTAGATACAAACTGCCATTTCATTTCCTCTCAGCAACTGTTTCACCAAAAAGTTTGTTAAAAATTGAAAATATCTGAATTTTTGACAAACTTCAGTTCATTTGATCAATCATCTTTTCACGAATAATATTCCAAATCTTTTCAATCAATCAACTTTTAAGTCAGTTTATATTATGTACTATGATGTAAACAACATTTTGCTTTGATTAGTGATAGTTTCGTTCTTTGATTGGATTCACAAGACAATGTAAACCTAGCTTTAGGTTTTTTGTAAATTAATCATCACAGATTTATTTCAATAAATAACAGTTTTAAGACTATTAATATTCTATTAGGTTCATCTTAGATTCAAACATCGTAGAACAAAATTTTAATCCAGAAATTACAAAAAATTAAACTATTATTTATTCATTGTAAAAGAAAATAAAATTATTCATTTCAGGGAAATTATGAATATTGTACCAAAGTTTCCGAGTAGGACAATTTTCCTATCACAAAAAAAAAAGTGATTGCATTAAACTGTTAATACTTATTATTAAAACATGGAAATGAATATTTACTTTTTTAAAGAAATCAATAAATTGATTCTACTGAAGTAACTTCTAAAATCAAATAATATGGCCTGATTCTTATTATACACAATATGTCTAATTAATTATTAAAAATAATAAGTAATTTGAATTATACTTAGTATCTTAATAATTACTTAGCCATATCATACCCAACAAAAGTTCAGTTACAATATGGCTAAGTAATTATCCTATTATTTAATCCTATTAATTGTCTGTATTGTTTAATTATTAACATATATTGGGTTTGATTTTATATGCAATTTCTGTATCTAAACAGTGAAAAGAAATTACTATTTGGATATCTTAGTAAATATATCATAATTTATACATAAATATTTTGGGTGTTCCTTCTCTAACATGGAAAACATTTATTAAGGAGCTGTTTGTACGAAAAAGTTTGTCAATAAATTGCATTGTTAATTGTAAAACAATTTCTTTATTGTAATTATTTTAAAAGAAATGCAATCTTTACACATTGTCTTAGTGGTTCAAGAAATAAACTCTTGTACATCGTAGTCCATGATGTGCAAACAAACTGAAATCCATTTTTAAACACTATTTTAAGAAAAAGAACCACCATTTATAAAATGAAATATTTACAGAAAATAAATTCACATGTTAGAAATAAAATTAAATGCACTTCATGACAAATGTTTATCTAATATATTGTTAAAAAGTAATGCACTATAATAAAATGAATAAAATGTTGACTTTAATTCTGCAAGACAGAGTATGCTACCTTTTAACATTAAATTTAATGTTAAAAGGTAGCATATTCTGTCTTGAGGACATCAACTTTAGAAATCAACTCCAACAAAAAGTTTTCATTAATACTTTTAGCTGGAGTTGATTTCTAGTGTGAATTTATTTTCTGACATTTCCAGTTTCTNACTGAAATCCATTTTTAAACACTATTTTAAGAAAAAGAACCACCATTTATAAAATGAAATATTTACAGAAAATAAATTCACATGTTAGAAATAAAATTAAATGCACTTCATGATAAATGTTTATCTAATATATTGTTAAAAAGTAATGCACTATAATAAAATGAATTAAATGTTGACTTTAATGCTGCAAGACAGAGTATGCTACCTTTTAACATTAAATATAATGTTAAAAGGTGTTTCCAAGACAGAATATGCTACCTTTTAACATTAAATATAATGTTAAAAGGTAGCATATTCTGTCTTGAGGTAAGGTGTCTAATACTCTGTATTAGACACTTTAGAAATCAACTCCAACAAAAAGTTTTCATTAATACTTTTAGCTGGAGTTGATTTCTAGTGTGAATTTATTTTCTGACATTTCCAGTTTCTATATTTTGTTACATTGAGATATTTACATAGATAATAACATGCATAATAGTTAAGATTTTCTAGATTCTTAAATCTGTTTGTTTTTCAGATAAAATTTTAATTTAAACCACATTAAATTTTGAATATTTGCTGATAAATTTATAACTATTATAAATTGTGTTAAACATTATAAATATTAATGTAAATAATTCTCATTTTATTGTAACTTAAATTATTTTCTTACTCTAGCTAAAANGAATTTAAATTATAATAGTTATAAATTTATCAGCAAATATTCAAAATTTAATGTGGTTTAAATCCACATTAAATTTTGAATATTTGCTGATAAATTTATAACTATTATAAATTGTGTTAAACATAATAAATATTAATGTAAATAATTCTCATTTTATTGTAACTTAAATTATTTTCTTACTCTAGCTAAAATGTCTGCACTAATCGCTTCATGTTTCTTCATTGTTGCTTCAACCTGTGTTAGATTACTGCCGTATCGAGGATCTGACAACACCTGAATCATCTCTTTTAAGTATCCTTCTCTTAGGAAACTCTAAAATCAATAATGAATGTTTTATTAATTATTAATACATAATATAATATTTAGATTTATTAGATAAATTTTAAGAAATATTAACCTTTCTTTCAAATCTGTATGCTAAATTTTCTAGTTTTTCGTGTCGAAGAAGTTCTTCTCTAAGAGCTACTTCACGTCTATGTTCTGCCTTTTCTAATTCATCCCATGCTTTTTCAATATCGTGAACAAGTTTTCCTTCTGGAGGAACGTAAAGTGGTTGTCCTAGAGCTTTCATTTTTGTTTGAATTGAGAATAGTAATGCTTCTATTTCACTGCGTTCTTTATATCTAAAAAAGAATAAATTAATACCTTAGAAAAAAACTGCAACATGATGTTTTTAAATAAGAATTTATATTTAAAACGTTATAACAAAATAATAAATGATTTAAATACTAACTTAGGTGGTTTTTCTATTGTTCTATATTCTTTAAATTTCAATAATTCTCTTTGAATTCCTTCAAGCGAATTTGGAAAATTACGATTATCAAGCTCATGAATTTTTAATTTGATCCAATCCAATAGATTGCTTGAGAAATGCTCATAATTATTTTTAAGCCTGTCAGTCTCCATCATTTGTCCAACAATCTATTAAATAAGAATAATTCATAAAATTGTTAAATACATTTTCATTAAATAATAAATAATACTTAATACATACAAAAAACTTTTAGACTTGTTTATTTATTAAGTATTAATTTTCTTAGTAATTTTTAAATTATTTAATTCATATGACTTTAAATTATCACTGTATGTTTTTTAATTTATATTCAATTAATTCAGTATTAATAATTGAAAGACTTATTAAAGTACTCCAAAAATTATTTTCTAATTGGATTAATAAAAATAACAAATGCATATTTTTTCCAAAATGCTAAATAATGTCATTCATTTTCATATTTTAATATTACTTCTGTATTTAAGATCAGAGATGATTAGACTTTGCATAAAATTATATAATTTTTATTTTAGGATTTGAGAAATATTTTATGCGAGTTTAAATATTAAATGACTCATAGAACTGTTTTCAAAAATAATAATTATTAATTATCAAAATTATAAAGCTGGGAGCAAGTTTTTTTATTTTAAGGAATAATTTTAATTATATATCATTTGTATTAATTATAAGACTATTATGAGTGGTATAAATATTAAATGACTAAGTATTTAAATTAAGAATTATATCACATCTTTTAAAAAATAGTTCAAATATTAATTAATATTTTAGTAGAAATAATTAAATTCTAAATATTTTAAATAAGAAATTTAATCTCTAAGAAAGGAACTGTAGTTGAAAATTTAAATTTAGAAGTTTATATACTATTTACCTGTAATTCTACAGTTTTTTCATGTATTGTTTATAATAAAATTATTATTATTCTTTTAATCTTCAATATGAAAAAATTATGTTCATAATTTCATACTGAAGTTTAGAAAAAATTTTTAAAAATAATTATTTAAAGCATCAATTAATTATACAACAGACTTTAATTTTTCCCATTACATGTAAACGTAACTTGTAATAAACA